CAGTGAACACTGTCGTTCATCAGCATGTAACACCTGGAACACACACACACCTGTTACACACACACTGCCCTCGTGACACAAACACACACCTGTTACACACTGCCCTCCTAACACACACACACACACACACACACACACACACACACACACACACACACACACACACACACACACACACACACACACACACACACACACACACACACACACTTTACTCACTTGTGTGTGACCTTCACAGAGGTCATGTACCCCACAGCGTTGGTGTCGTCTGAGAGCATCTCCTCTGATCCGTCTGACCCTGGGAGCATTTCAAGGTTGTGGGGGTCGTCGGGGTCGTTGGGGTCGTTGTCATAGTGACGTTTGGAGATGGATCGTCGTCTCACGGCCGTCTGATCGTCCGCCTGAAGGTCAACGTCGTAGATTTGACCTTCAAACTCCACCGACAGAGAGCGAGTCTGACGCGTGTGAACGAAACGAGGCCGGAAACCTGGAGAAAAAACGGAAATTCAGTCAAGACATGATTTATGAGTATATTATTATACTTATATATTATTTATATTATATGTATTATCTATGTGCAATATAAATACCATGACCATCATTACAAAACACACTCTGCGATATAACATGTGCAATATTATGAATACATTTCTATAATAACGTGCAATTACGGATCTGACACTACGTTTTTGTTCCACTGCTAAATACAGCTCGTCACTGTACAGTTTATTACATTAATGATGTGACCGTCTATGTTTCCTGTAGTTATTTAATTACTCTTTTTACTGAACTGTTCGTGTACAGTTTTATTATTATGCTGCTGTGTTTATTGTATTTTTTTTAATAAATCTTATGCCCACATTTTACGCCTTGAATCTTCATCAATTATCATATTTTCAGCTGCATCATTTCTAAGCAACACTAGAGGGCGCCAGATCTCTCGATCCCACTTTTCCAGCAGCACTCACAGGAACATCCACAGGTTTGATGTTCTGCAAATCTATTCCTACAAAACCATCATCACTTCATAAAACCAAAGCAGTAACGTCTCTTCTTGCAGGGAGCAAAAAACACTAGAGTTCAACTGTGTGTGTGTGTGTGTGTGTGTGTGTGTGTGTGTGTGTGTGTGTGTGTGTGTGTGTGTGTG